AGTCTACTATACTTACTCAAATAAACATCTCACCTATTTTAAGTATTTTTAAGGCGCAATTAAAGTATTTCCTTAAATGAGGGGTTGTTATGTTGATTTTGATTTGATTATCAATAAGTGAAAATGTCAAAGACTGCAGAGCTATGTGATTTAAAGATAAAAAAATAAAACTAACTGATTATAATAACGTTTTCTTTATTTTTCTCTCAAAACATGATCCTTATAAGAAAGTTTCGGTTTCGGCCGAAACTTAGACCGTTGCCGAAATTCGGTTTTGGTTTCGGTCGTAAAAACCAGTTTCGGTCGGACACTATAATGTTTGATAAAATTATAATAGGATAATATTACGAATTAGATTTTAATGTCTTACCTGGACCATAAGCGAAATAGCCACTATACCCTGTGTTTTGTGTTGCGCTTCTGACATATTGTGGTATAAGTCCCTGTTAAAACCGTACATTTGGATCTGAAACAAGAGAAAGGAATTTAAACATTTTTTATTTCAATTCCTGAATATTAGATTCAAGTTTGTTTTAAGCATTTGCCACAGATCAAGTAAATATCTATGTCTCGAATGTATTATGTAGGCACTAGTTTCGATTCTGATCGGTTTTAAACGAGAAAATAAATGCAAATGCCTCCCATTCTTCATATCGGCAAATAGACTTTGAGAATTTTGACAATTTAAAGCAATAATGGGGCAGTCGGATGTGAAATTTCGCAAATGCCATTAACCTGTTTTCTGTTCAAATGCCTTTCGAAATGTTCTGCTTACTACTACGGTAAAATTATTGAGAGATTGGATTTACGTCATCAATATATGTAGTCTAAAACCAGTCTGAAAAAATAGCACTAACTGCATATTGAATTCGCATTACAGTCAAACTCACCCATAACTCGAATTTAAAAAAACTACAAAATTATTAACAATAGGATATTTAGAAGAAATTTTGTAGGATTAATTTCAATATATTGAGGTGAATTAATCTTTGAATTAATTTTTATCACTACAGATAATTTCAAATAGTAAGGGTTCGATTCTTGGCGAGTGCGTGACAGCATCAACAATTTTTTCTCATTAATTTGAGCTTATCTCTAATGGTGAAAAGTAATTCACATTAATGTATAACAAAATTACTTCGACTTACAGAGATGATGTTGATCGCGTCTTCGATGTATAGATTAAAATGTAGCGATGACAGTGTGCATCCCTGTCTAACTTCCTAATATTTACTTCTCTACATTGCAGCTCCAACTCTATAACTGCCTGTTGCTCAATATGCAAACTAAGTATCACTCTTCTATCTCTATAACTCATCCCTACATTTTTAAGTATAAAATAATTCGAAGTGGTTTGTATTCTGTCGAAACTGCCAGACGCGGATAGCGATTTCGATCTTTTTGGATCTCATCAGCGCGTCGCAGACAGCTCCGACAGAACACAGACCAACTTTTACCTGCTGTCTTAACAGCGCGTTTTAGAAAATACCACAAATGGCGCGGTAAACGCCATCTTTTGTACGATGCTACATTTTTTAGGATTGCGTATGCTCCAACAAGGTCCATTTAAATATATGGATATATATGTACTTGCTGCTAGTAGCTAACCTCAACGTGATAGGCACCGTTACCATAATGGAATAAAATAATTCGAAGTGGTCTGTATTCTGTCGAAACTGCTAGTTTAAATGGACCTTATTGGAGCATACGTAATTCTAAAATGTAGCATCGTACTACAGATGGCGTTTACCGCGCCATTTGTGGTATTTTCTAAAACCCATGACTGATATATTATTAAGAATTCTATTTTACCCGTTGACACTGCCCCCCTTGGGGGGTGTTTTTAGAAGATTTCCCCTTCTCGAGGTTAAAATAAACTAAAAAAAAAATTTTCCGGTCCGAAATCTTAACACGTTTAGTTAAATCTGATTTGCTACAGTGGTTACGTTTATCAAAAAAAAATTTCATTCAAAAAAGTTATGTAATGTAGGCACCATATACCTAAAAATTTTGTCACTATATAGTGTTTTGTTTTAATTGTTTTAACTGCATTGAGCTGTTAACTGAATAAATAGAAAATGCCGTCATTAGTTTAATAATCATTATTCACCTGTTTAATTAAACCTATTAAGAGAACCGCAGTCATGAACGTTATAAATGAAGTGTAGAATAAATTGACCCTGCCTACGTTTCGTCGACTAATGCAATCATTAATTGATCACTTCATGTCCGTTGCAAACATCACTTTACGTCTAGTTTTTGAAATTTATTGCCTAAATCACAGTATTCAACTATTTAAAGCTCGCATGTTATTTTAGTTTTAAATTTTTGAATGATGACTAATCATCCTACGTCATGTTTAACTTTAAAAGGGAAATGCCCTTAGTTTGCTCTAATTTTATTTTGAGTAATATTTTGTTTGCAGAGGGTGATAAATAGAATAAATGGACGATTTCAAAACAAAAACATTTTTTACTTGAAATGCACCATCTTGTTATAGTAGCAACAAATTATTGACATCTTTCCTTGCCTTAAAATCGTTCTTTTAACTTATTGTCAATATATTATGATTAGAGTGGTAGCGTGGGGGATGCAGCGAGCGCATAGGCGGTGGGGGCGGCAAAAATATCATTTGTTTTTTGGTATTATATAGAGTCAGATCCGCCGCTCGATAATGTTAGATCTGGCCCAATTGCTTGGAATTTGTACCAGTTTTTAATAATTTGTACCACATAACAAGACATTACCTTCTTGGTTCGCAAAAATAGAAATCTGTGAAAAGTAAGTGTCTTATATCTAACCATAAAAACGGCATTTTTTCATAGTCAATATAATAAAAGCTGAAGGTGGAATGCTCGAATCCTAACGCTTCACTTTATCTTAGGGATGAAAGTTCACATTGCACAAAAATGTAGAATACACCTACGATTATAAAAGCTGAAAACGTAACAACCATAGAAAAATATACCAAAAAGCAGAAACAGGAATCGTCTAGTGGACTGTAGGTATCACCTATACATTACAAGACACTTTTTATATTCTGCTTACAAACACTGCTAGTTCACGATCCCTGGTATATTATTGCACTTGATTACTATCAAGCTAATTTTCCGTGAGTAGCTTCATTTCGATGAGACGCCCAACAACTTCTTGTAAGAAACTTTGATTGTGGTAGCTAACAGAGGTAGCAAGGATAAAATATGTCGGTTTGATGATTCTCAAAAATTTATTACTAACTGGGTTTTTTTTGTTTAATCTCAAGAACCATAGATTTTGTAGGACAAATATTTTTTCGAATAATTTAGATAATTATCTTGAGATTAAACAAAAAAAAACCCAGTTAGTAATAAATTTTTGTGAATCGTCAAACCGACATATTTTATCCTTGCTAGCTCTGTTAGCTACCACAATCAAAGTTTCTTACAAAATGAAGCTACTCACGGAAAATTAGCTTGATAGTAATTAAATGCAAAAATGTACCAGGGATCCTGGACTATGCATGATGCCATCAGCAAAACGCTGAAGTTCGGGAAAATAATGGTATAATCTCTCTAAAGAACCGAAGTCTTTACAATCCTTTATTAACCCTGAGATGAATCCTCAAAATCCTCTTGCTATTCTGAATGAAATTAATTATTTTATTGTAATTTACAGAACTTATATCATATAGAAAACAGCACAATATTTCTTTTGCACGTGTGACTTAACTTTTATTTACGCGGAGGCTGCTAAAATATATTAACGTCCCAGTCCGAAAAATCCGAAAAATTTAAATTGTAATTTTCCATGTATTAAGCAATTTAAAAGTCACAGTACCATTTCTAAATAATTTGGAGATAAAATATGAGTAGTACCTACTAGCAACACGATCTAAAGAAAAATTATAACATTCGTTTCTGTGTTTAAACAAAAAGACTGGAAAAAAGTAAATTTGGAGATTTCTTGAAAAATTTATTTATTATAAACACTATTCAAAATCTGAATCGAAAATATCAGTTTTGTGTACACCTTTCCACTGAAATCTCAATTAATTTAAATAGAAGGTCTTACTTAATTGTGAAAAAAGGGAGGGCGGTAAATTTACGGCTGGCAGAAATTCACACTACGCCACTGATTATGACTATATTAATATACTACATTTTGAAAACCTTACAGTTTGAATCAGATCTTCAAATACCATTATTGAAGAATAAATTAGCAACAAATTATCAAATTATTAGATTTAGTATAGCATAGTTACAAACAGGGAGCAACAAAATCAGTTTTTTAGTAACAAATTAGCAATAAATTATGGTAATGTTTATTTCGTGGACTTATGGTTTGGCTATTCTAATGTGTAGACCTTTCTGATGTTTAATTGGTAATAATTGACTGAACGCGAACAAACTGACGCCAACGTTCAAAAGTTGGTACAACCGTTGTGACCTGGCCTTCCCTTTAGCATTGTGTGAGGGTGTTAAGTGGTGAACTTTAGATTTGATTCTTTTCTTTTGTTTTGTTGATATATCTGACTTATAGTTTGGCTGACTGGCTTTGAACTTCTTGACCATAAATTGTCGCGTCGATGAGATAACTTCTTTGGTCCAATTGTGCAACTTTTTGAAATCACTAAACAAGAGTTTGTGAAGTGAATTGATTTGGACCTTCACTCTTCGGATCTGCTCTTTATCTGTTCATCGCTAGATTCATTATCAATTTCGCATTAAAGAAAATTAGTATTTTGATCGATTTAGTATCATTTGGTGTAAGTTCAAGGCAAGTTAGCAACCAATCAGTGATTTAACTTTGAAATCGCCTATTTATTTTATTAGTCACCCTTTATATTTGTTCTATTAGGCAGATCATAGCATTATTAATAATTGTTATTGTTATTTACATTAGATGTGTGTGTATGTGTGTATGTGTGTGTTGGTTGCTCTTCTCTTTTCTTTGTGTCAATATCGTGCTCTTCGTTTTTTTCCATTTTCTTGTCCTTCTTTTTCCTTGTCCATATTATAGGGTTGTTCGGAAAGTCATTTCGTTTTTTTTATGAAAATGAAAGACAGTTTTCGTATAATAAACAAATACTTTATTAAATTATATAGTGACCGTTCTGGTCCAACAGCTTTTGCCATCTTTCTGGTAGTAGCATGATTCCACACTCATAAAATTTTTGGTCATTGCTGGCAAAAAACTGATCGAGGAGGGTTTTGACCTCCTCATTTGAGGTGAAGGTTTTACCGTCTAAAAAATTTTGGAGTGACCGGAACAAATAATAATCCGATGGTGCCAGGTCTGGAGAATATGGTGGGTGTAGCATTGTATCCCATTCAAGCTGTAAAAGCTTTTGGCGAGTGACCAAACTTGTGTGAGGTCTCGCGTTGTCTTGGTGAAACACTACACCTTTCCTGTTGATTAGTTCTGACCTTTTCTGTTGAAGTGCATCATTCAGTTTGTCCAGCTGATGACAGTAGACTTCCGAATTAATCGTTGTGTTATCCGGTAAAAGCTCAAAAAAAACGATTCCTTTAAAATCCCACCAAACAGACAGCATCACCTTTTTTTGGTGAATATCGGCTTTGGAAATGGTTTGAGCCGGTTCATCTTTTTTGCTCCATGACCTCTTGCGTTTGACGTTGTTGTATACAACCCATTTTTCGTCCCCAGTGATGATGCGCTTCAAAAACGGATCATTTTCGTGACGTTTGAGAAGCGAATCGCAGACGTCAATGCGGCGACACAGATTTCTCTCTGTGAGAACATGGGGAACCCATACATCGAGCTTCGAGGATAATCCCAGGCCTTTCAAGTGGTCATAAACTGTTGAATTTGATAAATTTAACCTCAATCCGATCTCACGTGTTGTTATTCGCCGGTTCACATCAACTAATGCCTTTATCGCGTCTTTATCAGCTTCAACCGGCCTTCCCGAACGTGGTGCATCTTCGACATCAAAATTGCCGGATCGAAATTTAGCGAACCAGTTCTGGCACTGGCGTACTGTCAACACACCTTCTCCATACACATCAGTCAATTTCTTTCTGGCTTGAACAGCATTTTTACCCTTTCTGTAGTAAAACAGTAAGATATGTCGAAAATGCTGCTTATCGCTCTCCATATTTAATAGGGCACCAACCAAAAACTACTGCGTAGAATTAATTGGAATTTTTCACACACAAGCCTTGCTATATGAGCTCTGAAAGCATATAAAAATTATACGGCTTAAATGTGAAGTTGGGTGCAAAAGAATACAATTAAATCCTCTGTCGGGAAAAAACGAAATGACTTTCCGAACAACCCTATATATTCCACATTCTTACATCTGGTGTATCTAGCTTTCTTGCTCTTTTGTGCCCGTGTGCTCACATTTTTCTAGGAAATGCTATAGTGTTTCTTCTCTTTCCTCCTCTTTCTTACACATTCTGCATAGTCTTTCCTTTTCTGGTAGCCAATATTCTATTATAATATTCTCAAAAGAAAAACGCATGATTATCATTTTGTTCTGGTATTTCTTCAGTTTTGGTAGGTATCTAAGATAAAAATTGTTCATCAAAAGTCAGATAACATTCGCTCACAATGAAGACATTCTAATTTATGGTACGTAGTGGATGTCACGGTGGCAATTTAAATTCGTTGGATGTGATTGGTCACTTTCGGACGCCACATTGTCGATTTTATTCGCGATTTGATTGGACAGCAAACAACGATGATTCATTTAATTAATGCAACATTCGAACATTCGAACCCTGCATGGTATATATATACAACTTTGGTTCAAATAATTTTTTGTTATTTGTTATCTGAACACTCGAAACCAAGAGTCTCGTTTTGAAGACAAGAATGGACTAAAATAATAAAAATGCATACAGATCATTGTAATAAGCACAGGGAAAGTTATAAAGAAAGCTTGTACGATATAAACCAAAAAACTTAATAAAAGGGCCGTCTAACATTAAATAATGAGAATATGTATAAAATACAAAAATATTGAGGAAAGATGTACAAGATGTGGCAGTTAAGTTCTGATAATATGGTAGTAAATTCCCACCTAACAATACGGAGGGTTCGTACTCGCGTTGTTGCGAATTTTGAATCTTCCTTTAGCATCAATAGAAAGATGAAGTCGGTAGATCGTTTCGTTATAGATTACTTACAGTACATTATGATATGAATTTACTATGTTGTGTTGTTGAGCGCATTGCAACACTCGAAAACAATTCACAGAGAGCAACGTAACTTGTACCTTTACGATAAAGGTAAATAAATATCAAATAAATTTTTTGCCTGAGCTAAATTTTAAAATATGTCACTGCTTACAGACGTGATTCACATAATTCTAACTAGATACATCTTTTTTTGTAAACGTGCGTTTTACCTAAGCTTTGAAATATACCGTTCTTCGGATCATTTTAAGCAAAAAGTTTATGAACATGTAGAGGAATGTAAATTAATACATCTAATTTTTCGTTTATCTTGATGAAATCAAATCAGTGTTTCGTTTGATCAAAGGACCTTTACCGAGACCAGAAAAAAATAAATATTGAATAGTTGCAAATGTTTGGTCTCTCTCTCTCTGGAATTGTTGCAGATGTTACTAATGTCCAAAATATCGTAATATGACAAATCTAAAAGTCAAAACTATATACTTTCTAAAAATGTATGAATGAAAGTTTACCTAAAAATCCAAAGCGTTCCGAAAATCTAATTTTAGTTTAGTTCTGGCTTAGGTAGGCACTATTTTACACATCCTTTTATTTTCATGGCATAAATCAGTACCTATAACTTTTTTCATTCAATAAGGATTTTGATTTCGATATGCTTTCTGTAGCTTACTAGTTATCACATTTTAATCCATACTTTTTCCTTTGTTTCAGATGTAACTACAGTAGAAAATCGTCAGAAATGTAGGTAAGTTGTTTCAGTTTTTTAAACATGTAAAATCGCTTTTCGAAAAGAATATGCAGACATTTTATAATGTAGCTGTGTATTTACTGCAATGTTGAATTTTACAATATTAGTTAAAGGATAGTATTGAAAAAATACAAAACGGAATGCAATGTTAGGGTATTTTTCAAATTACCTACTTTTTTATTTACTCTAAAAGGCAGAATAATGTCTGAATTTTGACATTTTGGGTGTAAGATTTATTTGTACGTTAATATTTTGTGCAACCTTTCATCAACTATAGACAATAACAATTAGTTGTCTTAAAATAAATGAACAATAATATATAGGGTGTCCCAGTTATAATAATTAATATTTATACCACAGATTCCTAAGGACATTTGGAACATAAAATGTTATAACACTTTTGACTTTTGAAACAAAATAAAAAATTATAAAATTATAACAGTTTCGATGCCGGCCCTGAACAATCGCAAATTAATTACGATTGCCAGCTGATCGTAGAAAAATTCACCTTCAGTAGGTCGGAATCAGCTGGTTTTTGGGGTGATGTTATTGTTTATGTTTGGTATTAAGTTACGGATTAGCCGAAGAAAATGCACTCGCGTTAAGGTCCATTAGATGACTGAAACACGTTAGAAAAACTATGTACCTATCACAATCGAAAATCCCATGATCGTAAACTGAAGTGGACCTAATGTAGTCCATGACGTCGAGTATTATGTTATTTTAAATAGAAAAGAAATTTTAACAACTACGGAATAGTTAGAAGCGGTGCACAAACAACCCTCACCACCCAGCGTTTGGTAAAGGTTTGTAACATAACGTACTAGTGTACGAAAACAAATGTATGTGTTATGGTTGTAAAAGTTGAGACAAGATGCAGACCTACTTTGACCATTCACATGTGTTAAACGTTACTTTTGCCTGGCAGGGCTCATTAACCCCACGTGGGGTAATACAAGGGTGTGTCCAGAAGGACCAATTTTGGTTATTTTGTTTTCATTAAATGTAAAAAGCTAAGTATTGATATAACCTCGTATAATTACACTGCTGGAAGTGACTCGAAAACAAGGCACATAATGTTGTAGATTCTAACAGGTTGTTCAGTTCGCTTTGGATTGTTGTGGAATTTACTTGTTTGTTAGTGTTAGTTTATTTATTTAGTGGTCATTTCATAAAAGACTATTACAATAAGGACAATTAGTAGTGTGATAGTGCATTCTAGTAGGGTTCTTATTCAACCGTCAGTTGGTGGTGAGGTACATTACCAATGCCTATCGTATAATTCGAAATATTCCCGGTATCTGGGCCAAAATTCGCAGCAACTGGGTACGTCGCTGTCAGTGTTACATTGAAGCGAATGGCGGGCAATTTAAACATTTTTGAAAAACCTGTATTACCTGAGGTCAACTAAAGATGACGAAAGCTTGCACAAAATATAAAAATAAATAAATGTTATACCTACATTACCTTGGTAAGATTTTTACCCTATTATTTATAAATTATTTTGCAAAACTGGACTACGAAATTTTATTAATTAAAAAGTACGCCTGTCAACATCATATAGTATTAATTTATTCATTCAGTGGCCAATGAAAAGGACTTACAATTTGGCATAAAATAAATTAGTCCTCTAAGAACGATTAATTTGAAGCTACAGTAAATTTCACTTTATTTAATCTTAACAGTATCTGCAGCTAGCAGTTCTCGTATTCAATTTCCATACTTCTTTATGTTTACGATTAGTCTAGTCATTCTTCTTAAAACTAAATTTTATTACAAATGCTAATCCAACATGGTAAATCTTATGCTTTACGTGTATTTTATTGTAGCATATATACATATACGATATCATACAAATACAAATTTACAATTGCTAAGGTTTTATTCAAAAAAGCTGAATAGCTGTGCCATTTTATAACTCGTTTCGGCCGTCGTATTATATATAACGAAATTGATTGCGCATGCAAAATCTTGTCCCGTCACGTATGTAAAATACGAGCATCGCATCGAGTTGACGGAAATAAAAACAAAACACATCTGCCGCCGTTTTTTCACAAGGCGCCCGCATATGTTTTCGGTTATTCAAGTTAGATTTCGCTGCGCCAAGAAGAAGGATAATATTGCCTACTTGAAGCGTTTCTTCTTCCAGCGAATTGCTTTTTATTGAATAGGATGCATATTTCGAGCCAAAGCTCCGTACTCCTCTCGTATATTGAATAAGGGTCTCATAAATGGCGTCTCAGCTGACGTTCATACGCCTTCAGAAGTTATTAAATTCCCGAAAAAGTGTCTATCGCAGACCGTTTCCGTATGTGCCTCATACCTACCTACCACCGTATTGTATATTTTTAAAGTCAACATTTACCCTATTTTATCTCTCATACAAGTACTTATAAATTATGAAAATGAAAATAAAATTTTTCTACAGAAAATCGAACTCATAATATGACTACAGCTGAGAAACGTATATTTACTTAAAATAATACTTCTCTAAAATCGATAAAGTATCTATTTAATTACATTATAATGTAAATGCCCGCTTTTTAACAATTTTTGTGTAGTGTTCTCACATATTCCGAGATAAAAATGTTCAATTTGTCAGAGTCTCTGAAAGCGAGACTCGAGTCTCCGTCTCTCATTGAATCTCTCTGGTGTCGCTGAGAGAGACTGTCAAAAAAAACTGTTTAACGTCTCTGAACGAGAGACTCGAGTGGCTCATAGAGAGATCCTCATTTCGTATCGAGTCTCTGAACGAAAGACTCGAATCTCTGAAGGAGAGACTTGAATCTCTCAATAAGTGGTGTCTCGATAGACATGGTTAAAATATTCTAAGTTCAACATATTTCAAAGATCCCAGTCTTTCTACGAGAAACTCCAGTCTCTCATTTTTTCAGTTTTATTCATTCAGTCTCTCTGTGAGAGACTCGAATCTCTGAATTAACAATTTTATCGGTCGAATCTCTCATACAGAGACTGTGAGAGATCCATAAAAACACCCAGGCAATTACTGAGAGACTGTGAAAGACTGTGAGATACGCTCTCAGAGACGCTGAAAGACTGAGAGACTGGAGAGAGACTGAAAATTTTTGTCTAGGGGTATCTAATAAGACAACGTTCGAAGGAAACCGTTTAATGCCCTTGAAGATTAATATTGTTTCCCCTTAAAACTTTTAATCCCTCATTCACCCCTATAGAGTTTTAATTTTACGCTACGTCGTCATCTCTAGTTTTAAATATGAGCGTAGCAACCGAATTTCACCTTTTAAAGGCGAATACTTAAAAATTACTAAAATACGGGTTTCTTTAATTGTATAATGAGCATCCCTTGCATACAAATATTTTGTTTTTCCTTTTTTATTAGTTTTCATACCATGCTCGTCTGTCAATATCGCATCCATTTTATGTAACTCATCCTTGTTAGATGTTGACACTCTTATCCCTAAAGCTACTTCTTTACGATGTTACTCAAATCCTCACATTCTATAACTACCTGTTGCTCTTTATTTATCTAAACTATATAATATTATTTTTCTATCCCTATATCTCATCGTTAAATTCTTCGATATTTTTTAGCATCTTTTTCCATTTAATATTGTCCAAAGCTTTTTCTCTAGATGTACGAATCCTACGTATACGCTGTTTCATTTTTGTACCATTTTCTCAATTAATGTCCGTACAGCTAATAAAAAGTTTATTATTTCTGTCCGGAACTTTGAAAGGATCCACTAGATGAAACTTTGAATTCTGGTGGTTCGTGACGTGTAAATCAAGTCTTATGGGCGCTAAGTTGTAAAAATTCATCTTTCTAACATATGATCCCTTAAAGTTGCATTCTACTGTAAGGATTTCCAAGGTCCAGTTATACCGATTATACTTATTGAATACGTTTATCTATATATATATGTAGATTGATGTATTATACTTATGTATGTGTATTGCATATTATGAATATATGTCATAGTTTCGAACCAGGGATGGTAACGCACTCTACAAAAGTATAGTACACATTTAGTCTTTATGCGTTGTATAAACTACAGTAGAACCTCTATAGCTAGAACATCAAAAGAGGCGCCAAAAAATTCGAGTTATAGAGTTTTCAGCTTATGGAGGATTTTGACTCAGGCGGATTTTGATTCGACCTGTAGAGGTTTAGATTTATTCTTACTACTTTTGAATTAGGGAGGTGAAATAAATAAAAATTCAAGTTACAGAGGTAACAAACATGTAGACGTAATAAGTTTCAAATTATCGAGTTGTAAAAGTTGTTACAAAGTTAAAACATTGCTACGTTCGAGATACAGAGGTTATGCAGTCGAGAGATAAAAAATTATCGGGAGACCACTCGGAAGTNTGAGTTCAACCAGATACAGAAAAGTTCTGAAAACAAGTATGAAAGAGCTAACATTGAACCAGGTATTAGTGACAGAAAAAGCTCATTTATGCTACCAGGAATTATTAAATTCATAACGTACATTTTGTCTGTATGGCAATGAAATTATTCACAAATATTATAAAACCAAATAATAAAGGAAAGGAATTTATGACCTAAAATGTTTGAAGTTAAACTGAACAAAGAAATTTGAAATGTAAATAAAGTAAATAATAACCCTAGATCCAACTAAATGGAAAAGTTTTTGAATAAACATAATTGTAAAAATACAGATAATTATTAGTACTAAACAGAGGTCCAATTTAATTTTTCGAGTTATAGACGGAAAATATATACCAAAATGGCTTGCAGGGACTCTATTAATGGAGGTTTTGGGGCTTCAAGGGAAGGGAACAAAGCATTTTTTCTAGTTTTGGAGGTTTCCGACTTATTGGTTCTACTTGAAGAGGTTATGTATACTTGAACGTATTCAATACGTATAGATAGATTCCCCTAATCATGTTTTAAGTGTAGCTTCCTTTTATACACAAGTGCTAGTATGAGCACTATTTCAAGTTTCGACGTGTTTTTCCTCAATAGGTATAATTGTAAATTGGATATCCTTGCG